TTCGTTCACAACCCTGAGCACCGCTTAGTATAGGATACGGCCCTAAAGATGCGGCTTAGGCTCGGCGGGCCGGAGGCCCACCTTCTCTCTTTAAAATAACATTCCTTTATCGAGTGCCTCCATCGGGACCGGAAAGTGCCTCCACCGGGACCCCCGGCCCTCAACACGCACAGATGTAGAGTTGGGATTTACGGTAAATCCCAACTCTAAATCATTTACCACATGCATGACAACTGTTAGACAACGTCGAACATATATAGTTAACTTGATGTTAAGAAAGGGTATTATTCGCATGTTGAGCCCAGTGTACCACGCCTCTCTGAACTTTTATATTCTTGTTAGTATGTGTTCAATCAGACTGCCTCGTCCGAGATTCACAAACTGCTGCCTCTCGGTGGCTATTGTTGCCGAGGACAGCTCGGAAGCTCTGAGTCAGAACATGTCGGGTTGAGCGGGCATATGAAGATTCCTTCTCCCGCACTTGGAAGGCTTTCAAATATTCATTCGATGTGGCTGCGTATATTCTGTCTGTGTTCTCTCACCTTGTTCTTGTCTTCCCCGATGATGGGGGTATGTGTCGGATGCCTTTAGCTGGTCGTTGTTATCGGAAATCTCCCCATGTCTTATTGTAGCCCTCACATTTTCATCCCATGTTGCTGTGCGATGATATGTGTAATAGGCTTGAAAGTTAGTAATACGAATGGCCACTTTGTTTTTAGGTGATAAGGTTTACACTCAGTGGGGCTTACCATAGGGTCTTCGCTAACATACCGTGCTTGTTCGATAAAATAATACCTCAGGACTTGTCCCCGAAGACCTTGCGAAAATTGAAGGAAAACATGTGGTAGGTTTCAGAAGGATTATCTCAACGATTTTTGCAGTGTGGGAAAATATGCACATGGCCAGCCACACATGTTGGTGACAGTACGAAAATTGTGAAGAAACTTTGGGGAATTGTGGTAGGTTCCTGTACATTTCTATTCGAGTGGTTTCTTCACTGATTATAGGAGTTTATATACAATGTATATAGACCTCTATAATTAGTAAGGAAGCTCCTGAGGTCAGCTGAGGACGGCGACCATATATTACAAGACTGGACTTTTGATGTAGAAAGTAGATTCTTTCGCTCCGTCTCATCAGGGAACGCTGGAATATCTCCACTGTGTCTTGTTAGTAAAAATCAATTTTTTGACTTTCCAAAGGGGCTGATGTTTCGGACTCCTGATAACTGATGGAAATGGTGGAGAACGATGCTGCCGGGCTATGCCGGCGAGCCCCGGATCGTCAAAAATCAGTAGATGTATCTCATGATTTTTTCAATTTTTACATTCTTTTCTCGAACAACGAAATGTGGAGATTTTCTGTTGTTGTCGATTTTATCACCTGAATGCTAGAGTGTTCCCTCGTGTATGTCTTATAATTCGATCACGTATAGGTACGGTTGTTGGCATTCTTTTACGAGCTGCTATGGTTTCTATGTTATCTCGCATGAACAATGGTACAGTCTCCACACACTCCTTAAGAATCCGCTCGAAATGCTATTCCTCGACCCTGGTGCCCACCACCCCTCTGTTGGAGTACTACTTCACCACCTAGTTGCGTTGTTACGATAGCTCTCCCTCAGCTCGAGCGTTACTACATGGTTGAGATAAGCTTCTGGTGCAGTTGTCTAGCTTTCATTGTAAGCTGCGTGGAAGACGAGTTGACTCTCTCTTCATTACTGTTGAGGCCCTCAGATGATCGAGACTGTTCGCAAAGACTTCCACCAAATGTTCTTTCACCATCTTATTACTATCAGTTTGATGATGGGCAGTTTCTGTGGGTTATCTCATCGCTCCATTCGATGTCGAACAGCTCTCTTCAGATGTTGGCCATCATCGTATTGGTCTGATCGTTATCTTCCTCCACAACATCAGTGACGTCCCGCTCTACGTCGCAAAGTCGTTGAGCTATCTCGCTGAGAAATATGAAAGTAGCAACACCCTCAAATTCATTTAATCGATGGTCTTTTACTGGTAGGGTTGAAAAAGATAACGGATCTCGCCTTTGTGAACTTCGTCCTCGGCTTCTTCTTCTTGAGGTTGTATGTGTACCCCAGGATATGCGTCATTCCTGCCTGTACTTTTGGTACGAGTGATGTAGCAAAACGTTGTATCGAATTCACTTGGCATTTTCTCAGCTATTGTATATAAACGGCCGTTGAATGATTGTGTCCTGGCGTTATTTCTAGTGCTGTTGCAATGCCTACATATCCTTTGGGCTAGCATGATTATCAAGATGATTTTCAAGACGATCAAAAACCATACCGTTGTCGCGGTAATGGGTCCATGTTCATATCGCAAGGAATACTATCTACTTCAGGAAGGTGATATTCGCAGTGATGATGAAGAGGTCACGCTAAAGGAAAAGAAGCCCGTCGCTCACAAACGGAAAGTACAGTAATTACTCGCTTGCTGTATGACATCAATGAGTCACGGCAACCCACACGTGTAAGAAATGATTAATGCACCACAAGATATATTTTTTCAATTGTTGATGAGATATGAGTTTTCTGTTGATCTAGTATATCAGTATTGTGTTCTACTCAGTGAAGGGCATGGGTAAGCCTATTACCGCTGAGAATTCGGTATCAGATTCCACATAGGAGGACATGAGATTAATTGATATAATACAGTTCCCAAATCACAATGTGAACGTCAAAAAGATTGTCGATAGAAGTAACATTAAATCGTATAAGGCAGACCCGAGTCGTAGACTTTAAATCGTATAGGGACAATCCGAAAACACAATTTCCGATTTCTCTACTTACCAAAAAGCATGTGGAACATACTCTAAGAACTGAACTGACTAACCACCCTTGAGCGTATTATTGCATTACACATTACCTCGGAATGGATTTGGGAGATAATACATTATAATTACGACAGATAAGTTATCTGCCGTAATTATAATGTATTGGAGATAGCCACACATGCGATTTGATATTCACGGTCTCCACTGCCCTAGTCCCTTTGAATTCGAACTGTCTACAGTGGTTCCCAGCTCGCTAAACTGTCTTCTTCATTGGCTAAGCTGGAACGGCAGGCGAGATACTCTCACTCTACTCATATTGGTTTGCTCACTCGTGTAACAGCTCGGATTGTGTTGAAATTAGGGTAGCGCGGATCACCAGTGCGGATGAACGATAACCTGCTACAATTCCAACGGTGCATCTCTGTGGAGGTAGTTCCTCCTAGCAGTGTAAGGAAGTCGAGGTCCACTTGTTAATCCCTTAAGAATGGACAGAATAGAAGACGGGCGGTCCGACAAAGAGTATGCGCGTTCACAACTTGATGTAATTCTTTGAGTGAAGAGAATATGATGATCTGTTGTCTAGCGTGACTAGGTGTATCATGCTATGCCACACTCGGTTGCTGCTATCGCATAAGCCCTATGCGATTATATACTTTTCCGAAAAAGTC